ATATATATTTTTGTTATTAAAACTTTATTAACACCTAACTAAAGCATACAAAACTGCCATTTTTGCAGGTTAAAAAAAGTTCAAAATGTTGACAATTGCGTATAGCTCAATAAAATTTAACAACCTTTATTTTATTCTACTGTAATCTCATATCTTTTCCAATTTAAAATAAAATTCTACATATATAAATTAATTGCTTCGAATCCATCTCATATACATTAATAATTTTGTAACAAGCAAAAATGGAAATTGCTATTTAACTAAGATATAAAACTACGGTGATGCTATGACATATTTTTAGTGGAGGATCAAACATGTAAAGTTTACTGGATTTTCATTTTAATAAACATACTCTATTTGATTTTTTTAAATATTTATTAAAATACCTTTGTTTTATTTATTTTTATGTGGTACTGAGGATTGAACCCCAGGCCTCACATGTGCTAGGAGAGCTCTCTAATGCTGAGCCACAACCTCAGGCCTCCATATAATTTTTAAGTTGCAGTGCTCAATTATTTTTACAAATCTGTCAATCATTTAAAAAGGCTGACTACTGGCCTTAAAAAAAAAACAACAAAATTCTGAAGACTACATTATTTTCCTTATCTATTAAAAACTAGTCAGAAACAGATTTCTAACAACAAATGATCTCTAAGAAAGTAACAGTATTATTTTAAAGAAATTGCTTTAAGGAAAAGAAGCAGGATTTTCATTTTGCTAGTAAAAAATACAATTCACAATTTAAGAAAAATATCTAAATATAGCTGATTAAATGAAAAAGTCATAATTCCACTTGTTTTATTTACTCTTTCCTATCACTTGTGTTTCTTTCTAAATTTCTTGTTAAAAAAGATTAATCCCTCTTTAAAACCCCACTTCATATATACCTCCAGTTTTAGAGAATGCTTGACAGCATTTATCAGTCTTAAGACAATTATGTCTCTGCAATGTAAGTAAGTGTTTTTGCTCTTATCAAGCACAGTTCTACATCCCCCTAATATATATCCACTGATCATGGCTCAGCCGGTGAGCAAGTATTCCACAAATGAATTCTTTAAATATGTGAAGAGAGTTATGTATCCCTAAGTTTCTACTATATTAAGCATTTTTTTTAAGAGAGAGTGAGAGAGGGGAGAGAGAGAGAGAGAGAGAGAGAGAGAGAGAGAGAGAGAGAGAGAGAATTTTTTAATATTTATTTTTTTTAGTTCTCGGCGGACACAACATCTTTGTTGGTATGTGGTGCTGAGGATCGAACCCGGGCCGCACGCATGCCAGGCGAGCGCACTACCGCTTGAGCCACATCCCCAGCCCCATATTAAGCATTTTTTTAAAAATTTTTTCCCCATAAGGGACTTGCTCCTTCACTACATTAATAAATACTATATTCCAGGTGTGATCTTACCTGAGGCAAGTGGGATGATACTTCACATTATTTTTGGTACAAAATACATATTCATGACAAGTGGTATCTTCCCCCTGCCTCCCACTGGTGTTGATGGAGAATCAAATCCAGGGCCTCAAGCATGCCAGGCAAGCACTCTATCTCTGAGCTAGACCCACAGCCCCCTAATGAGTTTGTAAGGAAGCAAAAAGAACATTATGCTTTTCACATTTAACCTGCACAAAATGGACTTATATGGAGAAGATATGTTAATAGTAGGTTCACTGTGTTGGTAAGTTAAAGCTATCTGAAATGCCGTGCTACAAAACAGCTCATTTATATATGATATCTGCAAATCTGAGGAAAACTATTGTTCTTCTCCAGAAAATACTTACACAATTTATAATTAAAAGCTATTCTTTGCAATATAAGACATTTCACAGGTACCTAAATCCCAGCTAGAAATGTCAGAGCTGTACTGTTTACTACTAAATCCCAAGCACGTGGCCTATTATACAAGTTGGTATGTAATAAAAATCTATAAATTTAGTGAAGGGAAAAAAAAAAGAATATCAGTGAGTCAATCAAGTGTTCAAAAACTGGATTTTATTATCCAAAATCAGAATCAGCAACCCCAATGGTTTCTGAATAGTTCTAAATATTTCTACATTATTTGGGCAAAGTTCCCAGGAAAATGTGCAGTTACGGATAACTTATTTATAAAGATCTTCAAAACGGCTAAAACTAATCTGCCAACAATTCACTGAAGAACTGGTTCTTCTGTGGTTCTGAACATAAGAAAACTGTGTTCAGAACTTCTGTGTGAACATATGCTTCTGAACACTTCCCACATACATACACCATTTTATGATTACCATATATATATTTACACATAGAAAGAGGATTTAAAAACAAATAAAAATGCAGAAGTGGCCAGGCATGGTGGCACGTGACTATAATCCCAGTTGGATGAAGACGAGGCAGGTGGATTTCAAGTTACCAACACTGGCAACTTAATAAAAACATGTTTTGAAACTTTTTTAAGGTCTGGGATGTAGCTCAGTGATAAGAGTGTCCCTTGGTTCAATACACATACAAACACACACACACACACACACACACACACACACACACACCACTTAAATGAAATTTAAACACAGAAAAAGGAAGCAGAAGCATAGAGAATGAAGTCTGGGGAATAGTCAAGAGTGAGAAGAGTTTGTAAAAGAAGGATCTGGACCTTTCTTCAATGAAGAAACTAACTTTGAATCTTTGGGGTTAGAAAAGCCAATGCTGAGGGATGGTGTGTAGCTCAGTGGCAGAAGGCTTGCCTAGCACTTGTAAGGCATTGAGTTCAATCCTAAGCACCACATAAAAATGAACAAACTACCAAAAAAAAAATGCAACTACAAAAAAAGTATTTTTAAAATATTTTTTAGTTATACGTGGACACAATATCTTTATTTTGTATATTCAATTTGATGTGGTACTGAGGATTCAACCCAGTACCTCATATCTGCGAGGCAAGCATTCTGCCACTGAGCCACAACCCCAGTCCTTTTTTTTTTTTTTAAAGAAAAAGAATAGCCAATACTTTTAAAAGCTACAAAGAAAAAAGCAAATATTTACAGAGTGCTTTTATGGTATTAGCATCATTTTTCATAAATTCCTCACAACAACTTTTTAGGGAAGTATTAACATCTTTGTTTTAAAGCACAGGAAAGCAGCTCTGAGAGAAATGAAGTGCCTACAGATAGTAAATGGAGAAACCCAGATTAAATGTTAACTCAAAATTTTACATCATGCATTAGGGTATAATCTACTTAAAACATTAGTTGTTTTAAACATGTATGACTCAACAACAGTAATTATAATTATTTTTCTCTGCGCTATTTTCTTGGTCAACAGACTAGGACAGAATATTTTTAAAATAACTATAGGTTGATATGAGGAATCACCGACATGCTGGTAAAATCTCAAGAACAGAACTCCAGAGCTAAGGTTGTAGCTCAATGGTAGAGCACTTGCCTAGCACATGTGAAGCACTGGGTTTGATCCTCGGCTCCACATATAAATAAAAGCATTGTGTCCATCTACAACTAAAAATATTAAAAGAAAAAAGAAAGAACTACAAAGAGAATCATGTAGTTATATGTGCATATAAAACAATACCCAAAGAATTCAATCCTTTCACATTTATTCTTAGAGAATAAAAGTTGAGATTTTCTGACCTATACAAATATAAATTAAGAAATAATCACTAAAAAAATGCTAAAAGTAAAAAGGAGCAAAAACAGATATACGCTAATGTCAAAAGGAGCTTTGAATAAGCCAGCAGTTAGATATTCATGAGTTCTCCCTACTTTATAGGATCCATGATGTTTTCTATTTTTTTTAATATTTATTTTTTAGTTTTTGGTGGACACAACATCTTTATTTTATTTTTATGTGGTGCTGAGGATTGAACCCAGCGCCCCATGCATGCCAGGCAAGCATGCTACCGCTTGAGCCACATCCCCAGCCCCACGATGTTTTCAAAATTAAAATATACTATGGCCATAAATGAAATATTTCTAAAAAAGTTAAAAGATAAAAAATTAGACATAAATATTTTCAAGAAAATATCCCAGTTTCACTTATGACTTTTTTCATCTTGTTTTTAAATTCTAATTTGTTATATATGATGGAAGAATGCATTACAATCAATATTACATATGTAGAACACAATTTTTCATATCTCTGGTTGTACACAAATTAGTCACACCATTTGTGTTTTCATACATATACTTAGGGTAACGATGTCCATCTCATTCCACCGTCTTTTCTAACCCCATGCCCCCTCCCGTTCCCCCTTTCCCCTTTGCTGTACCTTACGATTTTTAAAAAAGTTATATTTCAAGATTGTATACTATATCTGTTTAAATATCTTTGTCAAAAAAATGAAATATCAAAACATTTTAAAAGGACTAGGACAAGAAATCATAATGTTCTTTAGAAACCAATAAATAAATTTGTACACAGCAAATTAGAAAACATATGGTGGGGCTGGGGATGTGCCTCAAGCGGTAACACGCTCGCCTGGCATGCACGGGGCGATGAGTTCAATCCTCAGCACCACATAAAAATAAAATAAAGATGTTATGTCTACCGAAAACTAAAAAGTAAATATTTAAAAAATTCTCTCTTTAAAAAAAAGCATTAAAAAAAGAAAACATATGGTGATAAAATATGTTGGGCAACTTCAAACAGAAATAAATAAGCAATGCCTAATAGAACATGATAGATAAATCAAGAACAACAACAAAAAAATGCTTTTCTGGTGTTTTTATCTAAGAATATATACTTTTACAAATACTATTACACAATATTATTATTCAGATTATGGCTTTTTGAAGTACAGACTTATGTCCTGATTTGGATTGAACTGCCAAATACTTAAATTTATTTGACAAATAACTAATTAAGTACCTAGTAAAGATACTGTTTTGGGCTCTAGATTAGGCCCTGGAAATTCAACAATCCCATTAAAAGGTCCACCCTTGCCTCAAAGATCACATTAATAGAGAGGAGATGAAAGTAAGAATCATGTAAAAAATGTAGAGATTCCAATAAAGAATACCTGACAATGCATTTCCATGAAGAACCATCTTGATCATCTTGTTCTTCTATGTACATTCTGACATTATGATCTTGATCCAACTGGTACCAGTACATAAGGCCATCTTTGTCTCGCCCAATTGGCTGGAGACGCATAGTATCAGCATCTTCCTCATTAATAATATTCTTGAATTTAAGATTGTCATCAAACTGACACTCACAGAGATACTGAAAAAACAAAAATGTCTTAAAATGTTTCTAAATAATAATAATATTTCTCCATCACAAGAAATATGATATAACCACATAATTGATTTAAGCAAAGCAGACAGAACACACAGTTTATCCATTTTTCACTATCCTCTTCCCAAATGTGTTTAAAAGAATTAAAGAGATTAAGTTTTAAACTTTCGTTTTAATTCTACACCGTTGTATAGGTATAAAACAACCACTGATGTAAAGTGCCATAGATTATATCCCTAGTACCAATAAATAAATAAATAAATACATACATACATACATACATTCATACATACATATATAAACACTGACATAAACCAAATTATATTTCTAAAGCAAAAATCTATTTGCACTAAAAACTCCCAAGTTGTCACACAGGTATAAATTTTTCTTTTCACTGTTGTCAATCATTGTTTAAGTTATTAACTAATTAGGCAATTAAAAATTACATATATTCATTGTGTGCAATATGATGTTTTAATGTATGTAAACCATGAAGAATAGCTAAATCAAGCAACTTAACGTTTATTACTTCACATACTTATTTCTTGTGGTAAGAACACTTAAAATCTATTAGCAATTTTTAAGTATGTAATATATTTTTCTTAATAAGACTATCTTATACAATAGATTTCTTTTTTTTTTTTTTCAATTGGCAAAAGGGGATTTATTAGGGATCCATTCCAGCGCTCTGGGGCTCTGTGCTCACTCAAGAAGGGAGAGCAGCCCAGAGCCCAATAGATTTCTTTAAATCCTTTCTTCTAACTGAATTATTTTTAAGGTTGACCAATTTCTCTCCTATCTGCCCAATAACTACAAGCCACATAACCACCATTCTACTCTCTGTTGCTGTGGGTACGAGTCTTTATATTCCACGTTTAAGTAAGAACATGGGGTATTTCTTTCTGTGCCTGGCTTATTTCATTAACACAATATGTCCCAGGATCATTCATATTGTCACAAATGACAGTATTTCCTTTAAGCCTGAAGAATTTTCTATTTTATGTATATGTGTATGTGTACACATATATTCACATATTTTATCTATCCATTTCATATATAAATAAACACCTGGATTCATTCCATATTATAATTACTGCTGCTATGAATACAGGAGTACACATATGTTTCAAAAACTGATTTTTTGAGGCTGGAGTTGTAGCTAAGTGGTAGAGCACTGTGAGGCACTGCGTTCAATTCCCAGCACCACATATAAATATGCAAATAAAGGTCCACGAACAATTAAAAAAAATATTTTTTAAAAAACTGATTTTATCTCCACTAAATATGAACCCAGTAGAAGGACTGCTGAATCATTTGGCAGTTTGTTTTAATTTTTTGAGAAAACTCCATACTGTTTTCCCTAAGGTCTATACTAATTTACATTCTCACAACAATGTACAAGGGTCTTTTCCCTTTTTTTTTTACGTCTTTGTCAAACCTCATCATTTTCTATGATTGCACTGAATTTATAGATTACTTTGGATAATGTGTATATTTTAACAATATGAATTCGTCTGACCTGTGAACATGGATGTCTTCCCATATATTTGTGTCTCTATTTCTTTCTTCAATGTTTTAAAATTTTCAGTATAGAGACTTCACTTCACTGGTCAAAATTTATTCCTATTTTAAATTTATTAATGTTATTGTAAATGGGATTATTTTCCTGATTGTGGGGGGAGGGTAATTTGTTATTAGCATATAGAAACAGTACTGATTTTTGTATTAAAAGTTTGTAGAACATAACTTTACTAAATTCATTTATTAGTTCTAATAACTTTTCAGAGAGTTCTTTTGGGCTTTCTAGATAGAATTGGTGTCTAAAAGGAGTAACAATTTTACTCCTTCCAGTTCAATCTGAATCCTTTCCTTTCTTTGTTTTTGACCAACTGTCTTGGCTAGTTTTCCTACTAATCTGTTGAACAGAAATAACTAGAATAGGCATCCTTGTCTTATACTAGATCTTAAAGAGAAAAAAAAATTTTCCGTTTTTCACTGTTAATTAAGATACGGGCTCCAGGTTTATCATAAAAAGTTTTGGTGTTTTTTTGTTTGTTTGTTTTATTGGTATATATCAGTGTTGCCATCTTGCATGTTTCTAGAAATTTAACCATTTCTTCTAGGTTATATTGTTAGCATATATTCTTCCTAAGTCTCCTACGATCCTTTTTTTGTGATATTAATTATAATAACTCATTTAATTCTTATTTATCTTTTTCTTACTCTAGGTATAAGTTTGTCAAGTATATCTTTTCTAAAAAGATAAATCTTATTTCACTGAGATTCTTTCTTTTTTTATTTCATTTATTTCTGTTCTAATCTTTGTTATTTCTATCCTTCTGCTTACTTTGGGCATAGTGTATTCTTTTGCTATTTCCTTGACATATAAATAAGCTCTTTGAGATGTTCGTTTTTAATGTACATGTGTATCACTATGAAATTCCTTTTTAGTACCATTTTTGCTGGATCTCATACATTTTGGCAAATTATTTTAATTTTCATTTGTATTGAGGTATTTCCTAAGTTCCTTTTGATTTCTTTTTAGACCCACTGGTTATTCAGGAGTCATGGTATAAAATTCCAGTTATTGTTTCTCTCTTATAGCTTTTAAACAAACATTATTCTTGAAAGGACTTTTTTTTTTAAATTTTGTGGTAGTTGGATATAGTAACTTTATTTTATTTATTTATTTTATGTGGTGCTATGGCTCCAACCCAGTGCCTCACACGAGCTAGGCTATCGCTCAACCGCTGAGCCACAACCCCCACCCCCAAAGGACTATTTTTGAAACTTGAGATATAGCAAGTTTTTAGGGAAGGTAATAAAGAAGGTAATGAAAGCATTGATAGATGTTTCTGGAGAACTATCTCAATAAAAAAAGAAAAAAATCCTCATTTCTAAAATAGAAGCAAAACTTTTTGTTGTATATTTTGTATAGGATTATGTATCAAAGTCAGATTTCTTCTATGAGTTGCTCTACTTAGGCAGGAATAAATGAAATTCCTCTTTGCCTTTGCTTGTGCCAACTAGCCCAAAAGCCTACATACTTTTTTTACCGTGTGTATGTGTGTGTGTGTGTGCGTGTGTGTATGTGTATGTGTTGTTTCTTTTTGCAATGTTGGGGATTCAACCCAAAGATCCAGTATACTAGGCAAGTGCTCTCTAAACATTATGTGATCAAGAATTCTTATCATCAAAAAAATTTATAACACAAGCTCAATAATTATATGTGTATTATAGATATTACATTCACATATTCACATTTACCATACACCTGCCTCTTTATCAACAATTATATACATTTTGGAATGCACAGAAAGTTATTTCAGAAGCTGAAATTTTAAAAAATTATGAACAGAAGTTCTAGGCTCTATTCTAACACTCTAATGAGAAACTTTATATACTCCTTTGGGACCACAGACTAAACTGGGGATAGATGAGCTTGCATGATAATTCACTTTGAAATATGAGTTTACTATGATATTTGGTTTTCTCAGAAACATTACATGCATCTTATAGATTTTCATGTAGGTTGTAAAGGCCATTAATATATAACAACAAAATAATAGCTACTCCATAGCTTTAGTCTATCTCTGAAAAAAATGTATGTATGCTGACATTGTAGATTAGAAATCATCATAAAATCTTGAGGTCCTTTGAACATAGAGCCTAGTTATCAAACACTGCAAATTTTAGAATTAATGAAGACATCATTTATACTTTCACACAGAATATTATTCATCCCATATTATGCTGACATATTATCCTCCTGCCTAATTAAGAAGTGGGCAGGGGGGGGGRAAGAAAACCCTGAAAATAAGCCTACATTGAGATGACTCATTTTAAACGAGTACTTCTGGATATGTGAGGGTTTTATTAAACACGCAGTGATATGCCCTTAGTCATCTGGAAAACAATATCACATTACTATGTTGGTAAATCAGTAAAAGAGTATCCACAGTTTACAACATGTGGCAATGAATGTGAAAGCTGAAAACAGTGAAAAAAGGTAATTGCTTATCCATTCTATTACTTTCCTTGCAAGCAGAAATAAATTAAACATGTTTTGAAGACAATTTTTAAAAACAGCAATTCAGAGAACAGACTGTTTTGTCACAGAAAAATAAAGAAGCAAAAAATTTATTGTTCGGGGCTGGGGCTGGGGCTGGGGCTCGGTGGTAGCGCACTTGCCTGGCATGTGTGAGGCACTAGGTTCAATTCTCAATACCACATTTAAATAAATTTTTTTAAAAAAAGGTCTATGAACAACTAAAAAAAAATTTTTTAAATCTTTTGTTCAACAATGTCTTTTTTATGTTTTTTTTAATTTAACTGGGAGTCAAAGTGAAATTTTAAATTAAATAAAAATAATTGTAACAAATAATACATTTATTACCTTTAAGAGTGCTAGTTTACATTCAACACTCATTTCAAGATATCCTTTCTTCTCCATCTCCCATGCCCATGTACTGTTAAATTCTTGGCATATCTGTAAGAAAAAAATAAATATCTTAATAGACAAGAGCAAATTTTATTAACATTGGCAGTTTTCTGTGATCATGTTGTGTTTTTTTTGGCGGGGGTTTTGGAGGGTTAACGAATAGAACTGGGAGGCACTCAACCACTGAGCCACATCCCCAGCCCTTTTTAATTTTTTATTTAGAGACAGGGTCTGGCTGAGTTGCTTAGGGCTTCTCTAAGTTGCTAAGGCTGGCTTGTGATCCTCCTGCCTCAGCTTCTAAAGCTGCTGGGATTACAGGTATGTGCCACCGCACTAGTGATGTTAAGTGTTCTTGCTAATACATATGTTTAAAGGAAGGAGTTTTTACCAAACCACAGTCCAATCTAATTCCACCCTAAAAACAATCGTACATAAATCTATCAAGAATGTTTACTATTGTCTGAAAACTGAATTAAAGGTAAAAAGTAAACTCTGGAGCTCTGTGCTTTGCTCTTTTAGGGCATATTTTTCATGTTAGAATACTTATTTTAGTCTGTTAAGGCTTAAGTCCTTGAAGATAGGGCAACAGTTTGTTCACCTAGAATGGAAATATGCTAAAAAAAAAGGTGCTAAAAGGAACATACAAACTTAACGAAATTAGGGATTAAACAACTTGGGGGTGCTTTCCCATCAGGCTATAACTCCAACGCTTTTAATTTATACTTTTGAGTCAGGTTCTCACTAAGTTGCCAAGGCTGACCTTGAATTTGTAATTCTCGTACCTTACCTCCTAGCCAAAATGGAGTTTTACTCAGCCATATAGAAGAAAGAAATTTCAATGTCCTCCTGTTTGTTATGGATAAAATCAAAATTCCAATATGTAACTTCATTTAACTGCTTTAACTTACATGGCTCAGATTCTCTCCCAACACAAACATTTCAGAAAAAACAGAGCCACTCTACCAGACTGAAGTAAAAAGATTTATGCTGTTGTTGTTGTTGGAACTGAGGATTGAACCCAGGGGTACTTAACTACTGAGCCACATCCACAGCCCTTTTAAAAATTATTTAGAGATAGGGTCTCACTGAGTTACTGAGGCTGGCTTTGAATTTGCCATCCTCCTGCCTCAGCTTCCTGAGCAGATGGGATTATAGGAATGCACCATAGTACCTAGTTAAAAAAATATATTAAAAAAAAGAACACTACTGAAAAGCCATGTGCTTATAATCTTTAAGCCAGTTTTTGCATGGAAAATTATGCAAAATGCCTATCAATTTGATTTATTTTATTTCAAGGAACAAAGAGAAAAATGAAGGTCAAGGAAAAAGGATCCAGGAGCATAGGCAATTAGCCAGGTAGGACAAGCAGGCAAGAGGGACTGCTTAAGACAACCTAGGAATAACCTGGATGGATCCCCAGAGGTGCTTTTCCTATTCTCCACTACTGCAATTTTTGCCAACTGGACTAATAAATAAACATCACAAGACGTAAGTAATAGGACAGTAAAAGAATATAATGCAAGTACATGGCCAAGAACTCTACAATAGAATTGGGTCTTCAAGGACTCATAAGAAGGAATTTCCCATTACCTGGAATACCACCATACTTCCTCCCACTGACAGCACTGTATTTTAAAAAGAAAAACAAAAGAAAAACAAATTTTAAACCCAAAACAAATGGAGAAAAAAGAAATTTTTAGGAGTATTATATAGGTTAGACCTAAAATAAGTATATCAAAAGCTAAAAGATGAGGATCTGAATACACATTTCACCTCCATGAGAAAGATAATAAATGCTGGTGAGGATGTAAAATAATCACAGATAGTGAATGGAAAGGTAACGCAGAGCAGCTGCTTTGAAGAAAAGGTAAGCAGTTCCTCAAATTTTGGCAATGAGTTACCATAATACTTARCAATTTCTTGTATTCATATAAGAAAAAAAAAACCATAAAAGCAATAGCAGTATTATTCACATTGGCCAAATGGTAAAAGAAAACAAATCAAATGTACACAATCAGTTGAATGAATAACAAAATGTACATTCATATAATGGAATTTATGCAGTCATAAAAAGGAATAAATAGGACTAAGGATGTGGCTCTGTGGAAGAGAGCATACAATCCCTGGTTTTGATTCCCAGGACTGAAAAATAAATAAAAAAATTAAAAGTGGGAGAGGGACAGTGTTGAAGTAGTGATGCATACTGCAGCATAGATGAACCCTGAAAACATATTAATGAAAGAAACTAAAAACAAAAGGTCACATACTGCATGATTTTATATATATAACAAATGTCCAGTATAGAGAAATCCAGATTCAGACAATAAATTAATAGTTGCCAGGAAGTAGGAAAAAGAATAAATTCGGATAGCTCCTAATGGGTAGGGATTTCTTTTACGAGTAATAAAAATGTTTTGGAAACAAGAAAGGTTTCATACTCCTTGTAAATGTACTAGAGAAAACTAAATCACATAATTTAGAAGTGTTAATTTTATTGTATATGAATAACATTTCGTCCCTTAAATTGACTGTATTCTTATCTGCAGCAAGGAAGTGAAAAAGAGATTTGAATTTCACCTATGAAATAAGAGAAGTATTACTTACTTTAATATTTGTTTATATTTAAGAAAATAACAAAAGTCACTTATCACTAAGGGAGCTGGGGACAGACGCTATACTGATAAAATAAGCAAATATATGGTTTATAATTATCAGTGTAGCTTCTGTCCAATTTTTTTTAAAAATGAGGAAATATATAGTTTATAATTAACAAAAATTGTATGTCAAAAGAAGCAAGGTGTAAATATGTCAGTTTTGTATCTAATAATTTTGTAGGAAGATGAAACCAAATATTTATGTAGCACACACACCCCACAATAAGTACCAGAAGGGCAAAGATGAATTAAGAGATGGTCTCCACTCCAAGAAAGTCAGAATTCTGAGAAGAACAGACAATAATGCAAACAATTATCGTGGAAAAAACAGTCAGTGAGCTACCTGCAAAATGCGTAACCGATTAGATTATAAATATGAAAACAAAGAGAAATACTAACTCAGTCAAAGGATAAAGGGAAACCAAGGAAAGTTTTATTCGACTGGTGACATTTGTCCAAGGTCAAAAGAATCAATAAGGTTTTATACATGGGGAGCTAAAATGGAATGTCAAAAAGAAAACACGTTTTTCAATGGGAATACGAATGATTATGACATAATAACAACTAGGCAGGTTGAACACAGGAGTTTGTTATGGTGAATCCTAGAAAAATAGACTGAAAGTGTGCTTGAGGGGCTAAGGTTATAGCTCAGTGACAGAGAGCTTGCCTATCAAGTGTGAGACACTGGATTTGCTTCTCAGCACCACATATGAATAAATAATGTCCATCAACAAATAAAAATTTTAAAAAAATTTTTTTAAAGTATGCTTGAAGTTGGCAATGGGCAGAGATATAAGTGAAGGAAGACAGTGAGCCTGTCAAAACAGAGCATGGGTTGTGGAAAAAGAGGGGCAGAAGATGACCACAACCCTGACCGACCACGCAGTAGGAACACAGTCAATGTGTGGGGTGGCCTTTCCCACTGGCTTCTATCTAGTGACAAGAGCCAGGACCTACAAGTCCATCATCCAGGTTCCTAAAAGCAAGGTAGTGGTAACTTACAGAAACACTACAAGATTATAAGGTAGAAACTGTAATACCTTGAATCAACACTACTAGAAAGGAAGACACACGGATAACATGAAGAAACAGGTGAAGAAAGTGCCAGAAACAAACCAAACTGATAATAGATTCCATTGACTGATAAGAGATTCCATTGACAGCACAGTAGATAAAATGTCAGAGAAGGAATTCAGAATGTACATAATTAAAACAAAGCAAAGCATTAATTAAGAAAGCTAATATAAGGGCTGGGAATGTGGCTCAAGAGGTAGTGCGCTCGCCTGACATGCGTGCAGTCCGGGTTCGATCCTCATCACCACATACAAACAAGGATGCTGTGAATGCCGAAAACTAAAAAATAAATATTAAAAAATTCTCTCTCTCTCTCTCTCCCCCCCTCTTTAAAAAAAATAAAAAAATAAAAGACACTTTATTTAAAAAAAAAAAAAAAGAAAGCTAATATAGGCAACAACTGGCCAACCCAACAAAGAGATGAGAGAAAAAATAAAAGTAGCAAAATATTACTTCAAGAAAGAGAGAAACCGTGAAAAAAAAAAGGAAACAGAAAACCTTGAAATAAAGTAAACAAGAAACCAAATAAAAATTTCAATAAAAATTATAAAGAACAAAGTAGATTGCTTAGAAGACAGAACCTAAGGTACTGAAGACAAAAAATATAATTTTATAAATAAATTTGACCACACAGTGAAGATAGTGAGAAACAACTAACAGAATCTCCAAGAATTAAGGGACAACATGAAAAGATCAAATCTAATAATTATGATAGAGGAAGRCACAGAGATACAAACCAAGGGAATGCACATTCTCTTCAACGAAATAATATCAGAAAATTTCCAAACATGAAAAATGAGTTGGAAAATCAAATTTAAGAGGCTTACAAGACACCAAATGTACAAAATTACAACACATCCACACCAAGGCATGTTATAATGAAAATGCATACCGTACATAGTAAGGATAGAATTTTCAAGGCCGCAATAAAAAAGTTTCAGATTACATATAGGGGAAAACCAATCTGGACCTCAGATTTCTCGACCCAGACCATCGTAGCATATGTCTAGCAAAATTAACCTTCAGATCTGATGATAAAAAAAAACCTTTGAGATAAACAAAAATTAAAAGAATTTTCAACAAGAAAGCTGGCATTACAGAATATTCTCAGCAACATATTCCATGAAGAGGAAACAAAAATCAGCAAAGGGAGAAACTACACTAAAGGAAAAGCCAATCAAAGGAGAATCAAATTTAAGTTAAAAACCAAAAATACACCAAAATGTCTGGGAATATAAATCTATCTTCACTATCTTCACTGTGTGGTAAAATTTATTTATAAGATTATATTTTTTGTCTTCAGTGCCTTAGGTTCTGTCT